AACAGTGTATAGATGTGAGATTCTAACCATATAGATAATTTCGGAAATGGAGATTTGGTTCTAAGGTTATGGCATATGGTGAATTGTGAAATTCCAGTTATGTTGTGTGATCGGACCTATATGGGATAGGGTGACGAGGGATCACCCCCGGGTATATGCACGGTAAGGTTATCAACGATTTGATGGTTTTCGGGACAACTCTGGGCACGTTCGAGGACAACGTATGTTTAAGTGGGGGAGGAAGTAACGACCCGATCGGTCGTTTTGAGCATTTGCACTTCGCACGCCGGTTCTTGGGCATGGCTAGTCCCGTATGATGTGTTATGACTTGTGTAAATCGTCGTCTTTGGTTTTCAGGTTAATCGGAACGGATATAGAAGAATGATTCTCAGCTTGAAGCTTTAAATTTGAAAGGTTTAACCAAGTTTTGACTTTCTAGTATTTGATCTCAGATTTGAATTTTTATGATTTGGTTAGCTCCGTTAGCTGATTTTGGACTTGGGAATGCGTTCGGAATGTGATTTGGAGGTCCGTGGTAGATTTAGGCTCGAATTGACGAAATTAGAATTTTGGCATTTTTCGGTCGGCAGTGGAAATCTTGTTATCAGGGTCGGACTGGAATTCCGAAAATTGAAGCAGGTCTGTTGTGTCATTTTTGATGTGTGTGAAAAATTTCAGGTCATTCGGATGAGGTTTGATAGGTTTTTACATCATTTACGGAATTCAGAAGTTTTGGGATCCTTAGGCTTAAATCCGAGGGTGATTTGATGTTTTGATGTTGTTTTAAGTGTTTCGAAGGTTGGAACAAGTTTGAATGGTGATATGTGACTTGTTGGCATGTTTGGTTGAGGTCCCGAGGGCCTCGGGTGAGTTCTGGGTGGTTAACGGACCAATTCTTAGCTTTAGAAGTTGGCAGATTTCTGGTATTGTGTTGCAGAGAATTCCTTCTTCGCGTTCGCGAAGAGTTATTGAGAGCTGAGGGATTTTGTTCTTCGCGTTCAAGAAGGGGAGGCCGCGAACGCGAAGGTTTGATTTGAGTATGCATCGCGTTCACGAGGAGGGAGTCGCGTTCGCGATGGTTGAGCTGGTTAAGGTACGCATTCGAGAGTGGGGCATCGCGTTCGCGTAGAAGGATTTCCAAGTCAGAGGCAGTTCTGCTTCGCGAACGCGAGGGCACTACCGCGTTCGCGGAAGGCATCTGGGCAGAATGTTTAAGTTCAAAACGAGAGTTTGAGTCCATAATTTCAAAATTCAATAGAGAGCTCGGGAGAAGCCGAATTTAGAGGGGATTTTCAGAGGAGCAATTGGGGTAAGTGTTCTTCACTTGTTTTTGGTTAAATTCCATGATTGTGTCTTGATTTTTAACATCTAAATTGGGAATTTGGAGTGAAAATTGGGGGAAAAGTGGAGGAAAAGTGGAGAGTTCAAATTGGGGATTTGAAGGGCCATTTGAGGTCCGATTTTGATGATTTTGGTATGTGTGGACTGGTGAGAGGATGAGCATTCTAGTTTTGTAATTTTCATCGGATGACGAGACGTGGGCCTGGGGGTCGGGTTTGGCCAATTTCGAGAATTTTGATTAAATTTGATAATTTTCGCTGGGCTTTGTTCCTTTGGCATGTTGATCGCGGCCGTATCAACACTACACAATGGTAGGAAGAGTGGGTAGCAATAACTAATACCCGATTAGTGGATCGAGGTCGAAATTCCACAGGGAGCTAGTAAAGGAGTTGAAATATCTGTCTAGCCTAGAGTTGCGGTTGTGCTTCTAATGTCGCTTCACACATTTTTGGGGTTTTCTTTTTAAACTACTCTTGTAAAACTAATGATTTAAACTAAATTATGCTAGGAGAATATTGCTAAGTTGTGCTTAATATAGGAAAAAGGCACTAGGATGGTGACACTACCTAGGTGGCTAGCTAACGGGTAGAAGCTACTAAGGGGAGATTGATAAATCTGGGTTTATTGCTATAACCGTTGCACAATTGCACTCATTCTCACACCTCTCGGTAGAGAGAACGATTTTGCCCAATTGACTCTCTCGAGACCAATTAGGTAGGCCAATTAGACCGAGCAACTAGGGCTCAAGTAGGGTAGTTACTCTTTCGAGGTTTAACCCGTTATTTGGGACTACCATTCTCATGGGTCCATCCCAATTCCTTGTTAGGTCAACTTTTAGGGTCATATGACTCTCTTTCTCAAGAAGAGTTAGACCCACTAAGCTTGAATTCATGTTTGCAACCACAAATTATAGATTGAAACACAAAATTAACCCAAATAACAAATACCCAATCTCAATCTCACCCTAGAATGCAACACCCATTAACTACCCATACTAGGGTTGAGCCACAACCCTAGCTAATGGGTTTAGCTAGACATAATTAAAGAAGAAACAGTAGAAATAGATGATGAAATGGCATGTTAACTGATTACTAATTAGAATCTATGATATTCAAGAGTAAAAATGCCAAAATAGGCTACACAACACGTCTCACGAGCGCAGCCTTCGTTCAGAAGCTAAAACATGACCTAAAAATGGTAAAAAGATCTATTTATACCGAGCTGGAAAATTTGGACAAAAATACCCCTGCGGGGTCAGCGCAGACCGCGCAAAAAGGTAGTGCGGCCGTGTAGGCTCTTTGAACTCTCAAATCTCATCTCTGAAGTTGGGGGCCGCGGACTGCGCAGAAATGTAGCGCGGCCGCGGCGGAGGGTCGGCGCGGACCGCGCAGAAATGGAGCGCGGCCGCATGGCTTGACTTGGTCAAATCTCCAGGTCTCTGAATCTCCTTCACGCGGACCGCACTGATATGTAGCGCGGCCGCGTGGGACTTAAGCCTGCACTGGTGGTTCTCTGAACTTCCCTTGCGCGGACCACGCAGAAATGGAGCGCGGCCGCGTGGCTTGCACTTCAATTTACCCCTCTCTGAATCTCCTAGCGCGGCCGCGTGGCATATCAGTGCGGTCCGCGCTAGGTCTTCCTGTTCCTCAACTTCACTTGTTCTTGACACTTGGCAAGTTTCACTCCGTTTTGAGTCGATCTTTGACATTTGTCACCTTTTCGCTCAAACCTGCAATCAAGCACAACTTGTAAGCCTTTTGGGACTATTTTGTGGCAATTTGTAACAAAAGCAATAGCAAGTAAGGGGTATAATCATGGTAAAATCCTAACTTATCACATGTATTGATGATATGATTCTGATTTTGGATAGATTCGAGGTGATTTGAGGCCGAGTCGAGCGGCAAGGGCATGGCGGTGTAGATTTTCGTCCGGTTTGAGGTAAGTAATGGTTGTAAATCAATTTCATGCTATTTTGATAAATGAGGTGACGCACATGCTAGGTGACGGGCGTGTGGACGTGCACTAGTAGGGATTGTGACTTGATTTGTCCCGTGAAAACTGTAAAGTTGCATATTTTGATAAACTCTATATGATATTTATGTGTTTTAGAAATGATTCTATTAACTTGGGCTGAATGCCATGTTTGGGGCCTTGTGCCGTACTGTTTGGATCCTCACACTGTTTTGATTCGAAAGCATATCCTCGGTCATGATTTTTACCTGTTTATTGTTTGATTCAGTTTCATTACTCTATTTTTACATATATGAAAGTTGTTTGGGCCAAGTTCCCTGATTTTACGCTGAAATACCCGAGTGGCTTGTGAGGTTGATGACTGAAAGAGGCCGAGGGCCTGAAGGTGAGGATTATATAATTATGGATCGGGCTGCACGCCGCAACGATATGTTGGATCGGGCTGCACGCCGCAACGATATAGCGTTTGGGCTGTAGGAGCCCCTCCGGCACACCCCCAGTGAGCGCAGTCGACTATATATATTTATGGATCGGGCTGCACGCCGCAACAATTATCATAAGGTACCTATTGAGCGTGAGTGCTGAGTGCGAGCACTGATTGGTAAGAGTTGAGTCACGGGTGACTGAGAGGCTTGCCCGAGGGGCTATACATATATATGAGTGATACTTTGCCCGAGGGGCTTGTTTTTATGAAATTACTGTTTTCACTTTTCTTTTATACTGAGCCTCTATTGAAAATGTTGAACAAATATTTTAACCAACTTTCATTGAAACTGGAATTTTTACGAGATGTTCGGAATTTAACTGCTAATTTGAACCTTGTTATTTCCACTGAGGTTTTTATGTTATGAGATGTATATGACTTTTAAAATGCTTGTCACCGCACTCAGTCTTTATTTATCTTTATTACTTACTGAGTTGGCATACTCACATTACTCCCTGCACCTTGTGTGTAGATTCAGGTATTTCTGAACCCGATAGCGGGTGTTGATTACCCAGTGGCAGGTTCATCGGAGTTAGCAAGATAGCTGCCTGGCGATCGTAGCCCTTTTTTACTCCCTCCTTATTCTCCCTTAGTTGTATTAAGTGATTTTCCCGGCCATGTTGGTCTTGATGTTGTCAGACGATAGTAGTAGATGCTTATGACTAGTGACATCCCGATGTCGGGCTTTCTTTCTGCAGTGTTGTTTTGTATTAAACACTTTATAGAGGTTTATTGTTAAAAAGCTTTGCTTTTATCCTAAGAATGAGAATATTGATTGGTTTTGAGATTGTGTCGGACTGTCGGCTGGCCTAGTTCCATGGTAGGCGCCATCACGACTGGGTTGATTTTGGGTCGTAACATATACTAGTATTTGCTAAATATAAAACCTAAATCAAATGTCTACTATTGCTAACTATAAGCCTAAATTAAAGTATACTAGTAGACTAAAAGTACGTTAATTTGTGCTAGTAGAAGATAGCGGATACCTTTGTGAAGTTAGTTGAAGTGCCAGCACATTCCACGACATGTTTTGCTTTAGTTACTTGTGCGGTTCATTTCCTTCTTTTTAAAACCTGATAGTCTACATGGCTAAACTTAAAAAACTTGTGGCTTCCTTTGCAATTAGTAATTACTCTACTCTGTAGAACCTCCGATCAAAACTTCCAAGCTTCTCTCAGAAGCCTCAAGCAGCGAACAAAAGGCCAATCCTGTCATTACCCACATCACAAAAAAAGAGCGGCTCCCCCCTTTTTTCCAGTTTCGCGCCCGCTCAGTTCTATTCTATCCCGCTTCATTTTTATGGTTTTGAAAAGCTCTTCCGCTTCACTTTCAACTCACTCTTTCTCTCTCTCTCTCTCTGTCAGTTTCTCGAGAAAAAAAGTGTAATTTCGCCGGAAAAAATGCCGCCGATAAACTTGACGGAAGGCGCGATAGCGATTCTAACGAACCGCGAAGCACATGCGGAGGATTTTAAACCGGTGTTACAAATCACAGATATTCGGTTGGTGAACACTCAGAATCAGAATAACAATAACGAACGGTACCGGATCCTTTTATCGGACGGGGAGTTTCTTCAGCAAGGGATGTTAGCTACGCAAAAAAACGATCTTATTCGGTCTCAACAGATTCAAAAAGGATCTATTATTCAGATGAATCAGTTCGTTTGTAATAACATCCAAAATCGAATGTAATTGCTCTTATTTTCCTTCAATTTTGTCAATTTATATGATATAAATGCTTGAAATTTCGGATTGCATATGTGCACCTTGAGTGAGTTTTTTCATTAAGATGCTTCGCCACAAGAACTGTGTATGTTTGCTTGGAGATATATATGATTATTAGGTTTGAGAAAATCAATTGCTTATGCTTTTTATTTAATTAGCTGTTTGCAAATTTTAGCACGAACTCCCGTATTGTTTAGGACGGTCAAAGCAATGGGAGAAAATAAGGTGATTCTGTTCAATAATTTGTGTCTGTGAATTTGTTTTTATCTTCTATACCTTATAAACCAAAAAATCCTGGGAGAGTGGTGGACTTTTTCTTTTTTGTTGATCGTTATTAGGGGCTGTTATTGCATGCTTGCTTATACCTAAGTTACCTAGGATTACTTTATAAACCTAATGAAGAATAGGCTCAACTTGGGTTTAAACTTCTGTGTATATGGTAAACTTTTTCCTATTATTAACAGGGTTCCTTAAATGTGTATATGGTAAACTTCTGTGTATATGCTTTGCTCCTGCAGTTGGTGTTGCAACTTTTTAGGTTTGTAGATTGGCTTTTCCTCTAGTGACAGTGCTGTGATTTGAAGCACATCTTATATGTGTATAGTTAGACCCTAATTGTTAATTTTTCCTCTAAGGTGAGTGGATGACACTTTTGTATGATGAGCTTTCTGAGATTGGCCATTTCAAAAAAATTAGCAAACAGCTGACCTGCAACCCCACCATGCTTCCAATAAGAAACTATATATACACACACTTCATTTTTTGTAAGTGTCTTTGAGAATCATACTTGTAGCTTTCACTGTTTGTTTATTGATTTTTCTTGTCTAATTCTTCAAACAGGATCATCATTGTTATTGAATTAGATATTTTACTGGAGACATGTGATACCATTGGAGAACCAAAGCATTATCTCCCAAATGGTATTAGTCCTTCAGTGCCACGGCCAGCTGCCCCACTTCAGCCTTCCACCAATCAATCAGGTGGTTTAAGTGGCAGCCCTCAATCCTTTACTGCTGTTTCAGCTACTTCAAGCTCAGCTCCAAGATCAAATATGCCTGGAGGGATGCAATCTCCCGAGTCAACCCGTAGCATTGGTTATAATACTTCCTCTGCTGGTAATATTGACTCTGAAAGATATAGTTCAACAAGTGCACCCCTTTACCCCAANTGAATCCTCCTCAACGCAGTCCGCACTGATATGGACCGCGGCCGCGTTGGGCCAGCACGGACCGCGCAAGAATGCGACGCGGCCGTGCTGGTAACAAGTTAAGCACACAGATAAATGGACGCGGACCGCGCAGAAAGGACGCGCGGCCGCGCTGGGCCATGGATTTTTAACTTGAGTTAGGGTTTAACACTTTAGTCCATTTTTTATCAATTTAGGGTCCTAGTTGTCCCTACTCAATTACTCATATAGAAGTTCATGCCCAGTGTTCAAAACTAACACAAAAAAACTAACCTAATCATTAAACCTAAGGAAAATGTGAAGAAAGAAGAAGCTATACTACTCGGAAGTAAACAAAATAATTAAAAATTAAGACTAATGAATGAAATATGCAAGAAATGTTACCAGGAATTATGAAGATTCAAACTACTTGATGCAAAGGTCTCAGATGAACAGTAAAAATTTAGGCTCAGGAAGTTAGAGTGCGAAAAGGGTAAAATGAGGCCTTGGGTCTCTATTTATAGAAAATCGTGGGACCCTTCACTTACCTACCAGCGCGGCCGCGCAAAAATGGCCGCGGACCGCGCTGGGTTTATGTCCAGCACACTTGAACATAGTTTCCCAGCACGGACCGCGCAAAAATGCTACACAGCCGCGCGGGTAACTTCAGAGACTTACACCCCCTAGCACAAGCTAGTGCGGACCGTACTGATTTGTAGCGCGGCCGCGTTGGCAAACTTCAGAGACCTGACTTTTTGTGCTTTTATTTTGCACTGCTTCAACATTATCCCTGCAACATCTCACAAACCATTAGCCCAAAAATCATAGTCTACAAAGAAAATCAAAGAAATAGAAAAAGACATGGGTTGCCTCCCAAGAAGCGCCTGATTTAACGTCGCGGCACGACTCATGTTACCATCATATCACCTCAAATGAATGAGTGCCACCACGTGGCTGTCATCAAACTTCCCCAAATAATGCTTGACACGATGCCCACTGACCCGGAATACTTCACCATTCTTGTTTTTGAGATCAAGAGCGCCAAAAGGAGTCACAAATACCACTTCAAAAGGACCACTCCACTTTGACTTGAGCTTTCCCGGAAATAACCTCAACTGGGAGTTGAAAAGAAGAACCATGTCACCCACCTTGAACTCCTTACCCCGAGCATATTTGTCGTGAAGGTACTTCATCTTGTCCTTATACAAGGACGAGCTAGAGTAGGCATGAAATCTAAACTCATCAAGTTCATTCAATTGCTCCACACGTAGATTGGCTGCAACATCCCATTCCAAGTTCAACTTTCTCAACGCCCACATAGCCTTGTGTTCTAATTCCACCGGAAGATGGCAAGCCTTACCAAACACCAACCGATACNATAATGCTGGATTTGGGAGTAGAACCATAGAATCGATGAATCCTGTTGCAAATTATGGTGGCAGCAATAGCAGTATCAGCAGAGAAAGTGGACTGCAGGGAAATCAGCAAGGTCAATACGGAAATCAGTTTACTGGCTCACAGTTTGCTCCACCTGGTTCTACAGGCATGTGTATGAGCTGTAATAGTTGTGGTGGAACAGGCCATAGTGCTTCAAACTGTCCAAGCATCATGAGTGGTCAGGTCCAGGCATATGGAGGTGGCTTTGGCAATAAGGTAACTTCAGGAATGAGCAGTGATGGTGCTTCCGGTGAGTGCTATAAATGCCATCAGTTTGGACATTGGGCAAGAGATTGCCCAGGTGTAAGCAATGCACCCCCTGCCAATAACATGACTCCTGCTTCAGGAATGAGTAGTGGTGGTGCTTCTGGTGAGTGTTATAAATGCCATCAGCTTGGACATTGGGCAAGAGATTGCCCAGGTGTAAGCAGTGCACCCGCTGCCAATAACATGACTCCTGGAAGATATGGGAATCCTCCAAGGCAACGTGTTGGTGGATTTTGATCAACCTTTGAGCATATAAAGTTGTCCTGTGCGGGTAGATGCCTTCTCTTAGGTAGGTAGTACCTTCATGGATTTTGCCTTCTTTCTATACAGTGACTACTTGGGGCTGAAATTTTGCGCTAGTGTTCCTGGATGCCTGGGCTTAAAGTTGTCTTCAGTTTTGAGGAGCGACATGTTTTTGCTCTTCCCTGTAAATTATTTCCTGTTTAAGTTTTTCTTGATCTCTTTTATTGTTCTTTTTAGGTAGTCTGTCTTTGTGGTTTCGTCCTTTTAAGAGCAAAATTCCTGTGTTATAGTGTAGACTGCTATATTAATGTTACTTATTTATCTTTTTTCATCTGTGATGTGTCATCTGTATTCGTGTCTTGAATACCTAATAATTGGGTAATAAGCTTCATATTCGATAGCACTCAGAAGTGATTCTGGTATTGACCAATTATTATGACAGTGAGAAGACCAAAATGAACAGTGTATTTCTTTTAACGTATAGTTGGGATTTTATTAAATCCTCAAGGCTCTCACCTTCCTATTATCCGACAAAATAGTTTCTGTTGAGTAGCAGGTGATAAACTTGCTGCATCTGAAAGTTGCAAAAGGTCGATAGACCAAAGAATTTGTGTATTAACTTCTAGTAAAAAAATTATTATTTTCCTTTGTGACATAAAAAGGGTTAAGGAACTGTGCCAGTGCTGGAGTTTTAATAGCCGTAAATGCAAAAAGGGCTACAACTTTATGTTATTTTCAAGGTGTTTAAGAAATGCTGGTGCTGTTGTTCTCCACATTTTCAATGTTTGTAAAAGCCACCTTTGATGGTTTTTATAGTAGGAAGAATATGAGATATGAATTACAGAGGGCGTGATTGCTGGTTAAAACTGACAGATATAGGTGGGCGGGAAGTTATTTGCGTCAGCAATGTTTATTTCGATGAGCCTAAGCTACCTCTTCACTGTTCCAATGATTATTTCTTCTCGTGTCTCCTTATATGTTATTGTGAAGCATTGTGGTCAATTGAACCCATTTTATCTCTGTGACTAAATCATTCTATATTGAACTTAAAGGGCGTTGAAACACAGAATAAAGTGCCTTTCTGAATCATATGATATTTAATTGTTGTTTCTGTCAGATTGATCGGATGTAATACCTGAGATTACTTCAGGTATCTTTCCTGTATTTGTATATAGATTTATGTATACGTCACGAATAGAAGAAGATCCTGCTTCTTGTAGTTCCTCTTACTCTGGCTTATTTTAGACTGTAAGAAGTGGCTATGCTCCTAAGTTGGAACTGCTAATTAATATTTGATCTTAGGACTCTCATCGTGAACTGTAATGGCTGAGACCCTATTTTTAATTGTGACTCCTGTCCAAACTTTAGTGTGAGGATATAGCTCCAGTCTTTGCCTAGAGGCTGTACTGAGAAGCTCTTCCTTTTTCTATTTGTAAGGAATCTCATTCGTCTAGATTCAGTGGAGCCATAATGCGAGAAGCTGTCATCTGAGTTTGAAATGCTAGGAACGACAAAATTCAAAGATTGTTTAAGTACACCATAATTCTCGTGGTTGAGATATTTATCTGTTAAAACCAATCGGGTTTGTGAACATCCTATCAATTTTTCAATTGAAGAATCCCCAGATGACTCGTTTAAGTTTTGAAAAAAAAAAAAAAAGAATGGGAGAAGTCTCGGTGCAAATTGACTTGGTCTAAAGCCAAACAGTGTACATTGAGATTCTGACTGAAACAAATAACCATATTATGCCAGCTTTCACAAAAGTAATGCAGGTAACAAGCATCTTCATCACATTGAGATGTATAAATTCATCAGAGATCTGGCATGCCTTTTCCTGTTTTTGGATCATATGTTCTCTCCATGACCACCTCCATTGGAGTATCCTTGGGACCAGCTGCACAAAGAAAAGGAGAACATCCAGAAGAAAGAGGATCAGAAAATTGACCCTGGAAGAGTAATCAAACATCTTATATTTGGTAGAACCAACTCTATGAAAATTTTCCTTTTAGTCAAAACAAGGAACGTGGTAAGCAACAATGTCAAACAAGCACCATCAACTCCCAGCAGAAAGAATACTTAAGTCACACACCTCAGGAACCATCCATCATCACTCAGCACACAATCCCCAAGCCGTTCCTAGCTTCAACCTTCCATATTCCCAAACACTACTCCCACAGGAAAGTAACAGAAGGATAAACTATATTATTGATCTCCCCGGATCCACGCTTCATCTACATTTGACTTACAATCTAATTTTAGGTTACACTTCTTAAAACTGCACCATGACGTGTCACGCATATCTCAACAATTTGTCCTACATTAAGGTTGCATCATAAAGTTGTCTACAATTGATTCTTAGCTCTTTAAGGTTTTAAGCTTTAATTTCTTCTTCCAGTTGAAATCAGATTATACCTCTAAGGCTACAAACAGAAATATTTTTTTAAGACCCCCCCCCGACCCCCCAACTCTTAAAAAAAAAAAAAAAAAGAAGAGAAAAAGTAGAGAAGAAACATACAGCATATACTACATTTAAGATGCAACAGAATACTCATCTAGAAGCATATACTCAGGCGAAGGTGAAAGAATTTGATAATTACCAATTGTAGGCCTTATTGTGGTCCTTATTTTTAAGATCTCGGGCCGGGGAATAATAGAACCTGACGCTCCTATACCTCTTGAGACTCTTACTTTAGAGCCATCCTCTAGGTATCTAATTCCGACCTTTGTTGGTTTCCTGTGGAAGAAGACATGAGCTACCACCATGTTCTAAGAGCAAAAGACAAATGGTTAGAGAAAAATGAATACATCCATACCCTGTGACTGGATCTACAACCTGAACATTGGATACATGCAGCGGGGCTTCAACTGTAAATATTCCACCTTCATGGCCTTGCCCTTGTTTAATATGTTTCTTGACCTGCAAAATGGCATATAATACAGCAAGGGGTAGTGTTGTTTTACATACTGATTATGTTTTTGATAAAATAACATAATTTTATTTATAAACAGTATCAAGTGGGTACCGAAATATGTTACAAAATAAGTGATTTGTCCTCTGCCAAAGCTTTAGAAAGTCTAACTAAGGCCAAAATATTTTGGTCATGTTAGATAAAGAATCTCTCTTACACCAACAGTCTTAACTATATTGTTTACATAAAAAGAATAGCTTGAAGCGCTTCTTAGTCAAATTAACAGCTCCCTTCCTTAATACAGCTATCATTAAGTGTGATAGTGAACGAGCTACTTGTCTAAAACACCACCAACTGATTCTTGCTTGCTGTTCACTAATAATCCAATCCGTGGAGAGGTTGTCTTGAAGTTCTAACTAGTGAAGCAGACTCCTACAGCTAGCTACATCTCAACAAAACCACCTTGAGCAACTCAGTTTCTTGTTCAATCTAACAATCTTGATGTCGATTCCTCCCACATAGTTTGACAAAGGTGTCATAAGTCTATCTCATATTCTTTATATTACGGTCACCAATGAGGATTTACTACATTGAAATTATCTTTATGTTCTCAGATTACAGTCGTATACCATTGGGAAATTAGAACCTAAACATTCTTCAGTCTACACCCATTCTCCAACACCACCACTAAAACTTAATGCAAAAGAAAGCACAACAAAGGCTGATACTATCAACACTTGAACCCAGACAGAAATAATCCAAATTCAGAGGTAACGTGAAATCGTGGCATACCAGAGTAGCGTCATGAAAGTCGCGTAAAGTCTGATAGGATCATATAGGACTGTTAACACCTCAAGATCCTTCTCTATCCATTATGAGCTTTTCAATTTAAAGCTTTTCTTGCTAGGAATTGCTACATCTACTAACCTAACACTAGTATATGCTGTTAACTGACTAACCAGCACTTTATGATATAAAATTATTCCTTTTTTCTTTACCTATTACTTTACTTATTATTATATTCACAAACTGTCTATTGTTTAGTGTTTGCTCAAGGTTTCTATATGTAGAACTATTATTATTATGCAGAAAATTCAGACAGCTCAGCTGCATTGACATTGTTTTAGAAGGAAACATCTCATTTGCATTCGACTTTATAGCATCAAAACATCTCTTTTCTTTTCAATATTTTCATTAAGGCTATAAATCTGGTAATCTTCATACATAGTGAGCTGTACCTTCAAATTGCAACATGCCTTTTGCTTTAAAAGTAGGGATATTTTATTTTTTTTTAAGTTGCAAACAACATCATACCATAAAAAACAACTATCAGATTGTCCGAACAACTTATCAATTTTCTATGTAAAATTCACAAGACACCATATATTGGATCACAACTATTAGAAAGAAAACATTCATGTAAGAGCCAAGATTTGGAAAGGCAACGCAAAGGAAACTCTAACAACAAACTTTCTGGTTCATCAAATAAGTCCTCAGTTCTAAATACACAACACCTCCACTTTGAGCATATGTTGGAACGTCAGAGAAACATGGTTATGATGGCTCCACCATAAAATACGGCACATACTTAATTTTGAATATCCTGACACTGTAATAGATGCTATACAACACTTGGGACTCAACAATCAATTATAGCTCCTACTCTGCCTCCTTCTACTTTAGGATAGGATCCTCCTTGGTCCTTTTTACATTGTGCGGGAGACTAAACATACTAAACTAGCCTCTTCCACTATTTTTTTGATCATTAAGCATGGATTTTATTTTCGAGACAGCCATTTTATACTTGCAAACTTACTAAGAAGCTCATAATATTAAATCGTTCCCAGAAGACAACCAGTGAAGCTTTAGATGACCCAAAGGCCAAACTGTCAAAATTCTCGATTCAAGCCAAAACAACCAGGTTCTCAGGCTTCCGAAGTACTAAGCTAAAATCAGGTACTCAAGGTGGGGGAATGGAACATGAATAGGTGATCTAAGTAATATTTTAATCATTATACCAACAAAAGACAAAAGGAATTAAGAGCATCATAAATTTTCATTGCAGATTTGTACTTTCCCAAAATTTCTGAAGATTGTGTAAGATTAGATAGAAATGTCTTCAAACTTGAGAGACAATCTCTTTCCATTTTCTCTACCATTAATATCTTCTTTCGAAGGCAATTTTTTTAAAATCTCATAATTTATGATTAATTCATTCAATATTTTTAAGGATAATTTTTCACATCTAAATTATTTATTTGATATATACGTTGTACTGTATAGATGAAATTAGTTGAACTTAATAAAACTAAAAAATAAAATAAAGAATCCAAAAAATACTCGATTTCAGTTTATGGTTCCACATTTCATTTACATGCAATAAAATAACTCGAAGATAACCATAAGCATTGAAAAACCTCTTGCATAACCCTTGCATTGAAAAAATATAACCAAAGATAAGCATAACCATCACAGATGACGAGACACAGAAGAGGAGAAACAAAAACAGTTGTAAGACTTGAAATTTGTTTGCAAGTTGCAACTTCAAAGTTGGAATTAGGTGAACTTTATGAGTTAAGATTCTCAAATTGACATTAAATCTTCTCCCACTCATTAGTATCAATTCCACAACAGGACTCCTTAATACATAATAACAAGTAAACAGATAAAAACAGGATTTTGGAAACAATGCAAAAAAAAAGTGAAAAAGAACTAAATTATGACAAGATATGTTTGACAACCAGGGTAAATTACCACAAGACACGTTTAAAGGATATAAAGCATGTGCCAAGAAAAATGCTAACCAGGTTTTTGCCCTCAACGATTACACGGTTTTGGGAACGTATGACACGCTTAATGGTACCAGTCTCGCCTTTATCTTTTCCTCTGATAATCATGACCTGAGCATTGGAAACAAAACAAAAAAGGAAATAATTAGAAAAATCCCTAGGGTATTAGAGGTCAATCATCCAGGGAAACAGTGATTAATGAGCTTACATTATCACCTCTGAGAATTCTCCACTGATGAATGAGTTTCTGATAACTTTTCCAACCCATTTTCAGCTTCAGTAAAGTACAAGCAACCTGCTTTGCATTCAGATGTGAAAATAAATCCATTAATCAGATCAATATAAACAACAACAACAACAATAACAACAAACCCAGTAAATTCCCACAAGTGGGGTCTGGGAGAGATGTTCGCAGCCTTACCCCTACCCGGGAAGGGTAGAGAGGCTGTTTCCGATAGACCCTCGGCTAAAGAAAAGACCACAAATTTAAAAATAGCAAAAAGAAAAGGCCTTTAACATCAATATAAAATATCACAGATATTTATACAAATGCATGCACCAAAATCCATTTGCAATTAACATAAGCTGGTTAATATCCAAAAACAAGAGACTAAAAGGTGCCAAATACCAACTAGCCCCACAACTTAAAAGGCATCTATTTATTTCAATTTTTTGACTTTTTTTTTATCAGTTAAGAGAATTTCAAAATTCTGACTTTCACAACACTAATATAACCACTCATTAATAAAATTTACTGGGGGACTGAGAAACCACAATCCAACCTCAACCATAGTCACAAAAAGATAAATAAAAAACATAACACTTTGAAATGAAAGTTAAAACCCATTAACAAAAGAAGAAAACCCATCAACAAGAAACTTAAAAAAAAAAAAAAAGACAAACATAAGACTTAGTTAAAGATAAAAATTCAATCACAGCTGTAAAAAATGCTGAGCTAAATTTACCTGCAAAGTAAAAGAAAAAACACACATCTTTCTGAAACGAAAACCAAAAACAAGCCAATCCAACACTTAGATCTTATCTTCAACCACATGCAGACCCAAATAAACACCAATGCATTTTTTCCAGCATTGATATCATCAAAAAAGAAAAAATTAGTACCAACAAAAACTCCAAAACCCAATGCATCTATTAGAAGGAAAAAAAACCACAAAGAAAAATTCGATGATCCAGTTATAATGAAACCGGATACCACATTACAAACCCAGTTCCATTTCATCACCAAAAATAGAAAAAAAGATTAGATTTTTACACCAAAATAAGATAAAAGTAAACTTCTCTGTTTCTTCAAGCATTTAGCGACCCTTTAGGTTTCTCTACCTTTCTTTAATTTCTTTCTTCTGTTCTGGAATGCAAGTTTCAAGAACTGAAATTTCGCTTGCGAAGAAGAAGAAAAGAAAGAACAAGTCCAAGAAGTGTTGTATGTATATATATATATATACATAGAGAGAACAAAGAGGTTTGTACTTTCACTTGATGAATATAAAGTAAATAAATAAATAAAAAGCCTAACACTATCAAGAATCAAGAAAAAATCAAATCTTTTGCAAACTCGTTCCAATAAATCCAAATTAAGAAAAAAATCACAAAATCTATTCAAAAACAGTCCATTCAAATGGGGCCTAACCTAAATTCTAAATATCTCGATACAACATAAATAAAATTGAGAAAAAGTCGTTAATTTCACAAACATATTTCAAATCAGAAAAACTACTTAGATTAGATAGGAGAAAAAAAAAGAGAAGGGTACCTCAAGTTTTAGCTTGAGAAGGTGGTTGGGGGTTTAATTAAATGGAATTTTCACTTGTCTGACTTTATCGTTTTAGGTTTTTTATTTTGGGCTGTCTAAGCGACCCAATTACTTTTAAGGTCCAATGTTGGCCCAAATCTTGATAAGCTTCAACCTTTTATTTGTTGAAACTAGTTTCTTTTATGGAATTTTTACATTCCTATTCCATATAAGAAACTATATTACCCTCAATGTTTAAGGTTTGATTTAATTACATTTAGTATATCTAATTATCAATTTTATACCATAATGTATTTTAACTGTACAATTAATGTACCGTATATCACTCCTTAATTAACGCTACCGTATATTCCTCCAAATCCCCCCCCCCCCTCCACACGTTTCTCCCTCCCAAACCCCTCACCCACGTATCTCCCCACACCCACATTTCAAACCCATTATTCCCTCTGCTAAAACCAGAGAAACATATGTAACACCCTTCCATTAATGTCCAATTTCAAGCTTTTTCTTCTACAACCAGTCAAAATTGAAGTCAAAGCTTCAAAGTTCATACACACATTTACCTTCAGCTTCAAATTTTCTCAATGAAGAAGAACAAACCTTCAAAGAGACAAGAGAGCAGCAATTCCACCATTGACAGCCATTAAAAAGCTTTGAAGCTTTGAATTCAAATTCGGGTTTTCAAAAATCATTATTTGTTTGGATTGGGTGTTGTTGTAAACAATTGAAAATATGGTTTGGAGTTTATTTCTCAATTTTGAGGGGTTTTGGTGAAGATTTTGACTTCGTTTTGGCTGAATTTCAGATTGAAACTCGAAGAAGAAGAAGAAGAAAACGACATGACATACATTATATTGCAGCAATTGTAGATAAATTGTAGACTGTTGTTTATTTATTTTTGAGTTTTTGTGTTTTTGTGTTAAAAATTTTGATGGGAGCTTGTTATTCCACTTCGTCTGTTTTGGAGCTAACTTGTGCAGAGGAGAAGATGTTTTTTAAGTTATATATATTGCTATACCTTTAAATTCAAGAAAGTATGGTTGTATTGTATTTAAAGAGGCGTGAATTTGTAGATTAGGTTGAATGTGAGGAATGAGTCAAATAAGACTCACAATGGCTTATTTTCTACATTTAATCTACAACAAAACTACATATCATTTGAAAAATTAATATGAAAATAAAGAATTTCAATGTTTCTACAAATTATCTACAAAATTTCTACAAACTGTTCATAACAGAATTTATCTTTATTTTCATGCATGTTCGTCTGGAACACTAAAGTTACTTGATATGCCAACATCTCCCGTTATAGAGGAATACAACTTATCTATAACTTTCACACATTATTTCCACCCAGTGAAATATAACTACAATAACATAAAATTTGAGCTTTGCATTTTTGTGTAAAAAGTTTTGATGGGAGCTTGTTATTCCACTTCGTCTGTTTTGGATCTAACTTGTGCAGAGGAGAAGATGTTTTTTAAGTTATATATATTGCTATACCTTTAAATTCAAGAAAGTATGGTTGCATTATATTTAAAGAGGCGTGAATTTGTAGAATAGGTTGAATGTGAGGAATGAGTCAAATAAGACTCACAATGTCTTGTTTTCTACATTTATTCTACAAGAAAACTGCATATCATTTGAAAAATTAATATGAAAATACAGAATTTCAATGTTTCTACAAATTATCTAGAAATTATCTACAAACTGTTCATAACAGAATTTATCCTTATTTTCATGCATGTTCGTCTGGAACACTAAAGTTACTTGATATGCCAGCATCTCCCGTTATAGAGGAATACAACTTATCTATAATTTTTTACAACTTTCACACATTATTTCCACCAAGTGAAATACAACTACAATAACATAAAACTTACATACAAATTTTATACAAAATTTATACAATATGTCTTTTGTATAATTTGTATCTAATTTATACATAGTAAAAATAATTTTCATACAATTAATTATATATTATACAACTTATCTACAAATTATCTATAATTTTCGTACATTATTTCTACTAAGTTATATACAACTACAATATAATACAACTTAAATATAATTTTTATACAATGTTGTTTAACTTTCATACAATAGTTAAATGAATAAAAGAAAAATAAATAAACAACAAAATACAATTTTTCTACAATTTATCTACATTTTCTGCAATATAATGTATGTCATGTCTTCTTCTTCTTCTTCGAGTTTCAATCCGAAATTCAGCCAAAACCAAGTCTAATCTTCACCAAAACCCCTCAAAATTGAGATATAAACTCCAAACCATATTCCCAATTATTTGCAACAACACCCAATCCAAACAAATAATGATTTTTAAAAACCCAAATTTGAATTCAAAGCTTCATAGCTTTTTAATGGCTGTCAATGGTGGAATTGCTGCTCTCTTTTCCTTTGCTTTGTGTTATTGAAATTTGGACATAATTGCGTATGATGTAGATGAATTGTAGAAGATTTAGTCGTTTTTGATTTGTGAAATCAGAAAAAATATTGAAACAGAGTTTAGCGCAAAAAACAGAGTACAGAAATTTTGTAACGAAGACGACGATAGTGATTACTGTGTGTGATTTGCGTTGGAAGATCTGGAAAATATTTAATTCCCCTTTTTTAGCGCGCCTAAATAAGGAATCCTACAGCTATAATGATTCCTTATTTAATTCATTGTATATATTATGTAGAAATACTATTAGCATGAAGGGAAATATGCAAACTATGAACATATTTGGTAATATAGTTTCCTATATGGTATAGGAACGAAAATTTCCCTTCTTTTATTCCATCCCCAAGACTAAACATTCCCTCCATCATCCTTAGATTAATTAGAGAAATATATATTTTTAGCTGCTATCAATATATATATATATATATATATATATATATATATGTGTGTGTGTGTGTGTGTGTTTGTGCGCGCGCGCGCACTTTTTGGCTAGCAAATGCAATTACTTTCGGCCAACCGACCTTTGTATTTTGCCCGATTAATTATCATAAATTGAATTTGAAAGCCGAATTTTATATTTGACTTCAAAAAAATTTGATGATATTTTTCATCTACTTCGATAATGCTTATTCTAATTTTTTGAATTTTGATGGGTTATCATTATAAAATTAGTCAAATTAACCACCAAAATCGAATTTAGGCAACCGAACAATTATATAGGTAGCTCGATTTGTTGATATGTAGGAAAGAGAAACCAAAAAGTAGTATAGAGGAAGATAGTATTCGAAATTGAAATTTTGAAGGAAGAAAAGAGGTCAATGTCACATTTTCTTATTTAAGTTGGACATCGTCAATGATCCACTTAAACTTTTTAACTTTTAATGTTGTAGTCTTGAGAAGGTTAATTTAGAGAGAGATTTGTTGACAACATATTCTAGTTAAACATATGCTAGTTGTCACATGATAAAAGACAAACTGAAACGTGTGTGCCACCAATCTGCTGAAAGGACTTGGATATTAGACTGCAGATGAGCTCCTTTCTTCACACAACTTGTATGGTAGTTCCTGAAATATGTCAGAAAGTCTTCACTTCTTCATAGCAAAGTGCTCCTTCTATTTCTCCACCCACTCTTAACACTTTATGGTAATTTACATTCAACACAATTAAGAACCCAATGGATAATATTGGTAAATAAGTATATTATAGTGGTTCCATCCAATAGTACATTGTATTTGTGGATTCTTCTGCAACACACGACCAAATAGGTCATGGTAATATTTCTCGAGCCTAACTAAATATGTAATAATCCATATTACAGTTAAATCCCTTGGTCTCTGCCACTTTTTATATGCAGCTTATAGTTCTACTGCTTATTTACCAGTTCTATAAACCTCCTTTAGAAACAAAGACTGGCAGATGAAGTGATAGGGTTGCCGGGTTCATTCGAGGATTGGTCTTTAATCATCCCCTGTTTGCCACATGAGCACCGGTCGGGCATACTATTGACCTCGATCGAGTTGAGACCTGCAATAATCCCATCTGAGCCAGTCTGCGCTACCAATTTAAGACTCTCGGCTTTTGCTTTCATTCGAAGTCGCTCTGCTCTTGAGCCAATGACCTGTCCCAAGATTGAAGCAGCAATGGTTAATGCCATAGCTGTTCTGGGCATCACAACCGACTTCCTCAGCATAGCTATAAAAGGAACAGCAGCATGGACAGCAGCAAACCAAGATGGTGAGAACTTCTCAGTGTGCTCTCTCCATATGCCTAGTGGAATATTGGCTGCCATACCCAAGGCTCCAATAACAAGCATCTTTGAAGACAGTGGTTGTGGCCGCAGAGTCTTCACAAAGGCAGTCCTGGCAAGGGCAGCCCTGGCTGCAACAATTGCAGGTGGGCATTTGAGCTTCATTCCAGGAGGCAGCTGAAATGCTGTTGCCACAAGTGGGAGGACACCGCTCACAGCTCTATAAGATTTGGCGATAGGACAGTTCCCTGTCTCCAACCACTCGTTCCCCATTGCCTCGTGCTTAGAGGAATTGTCCTGAAGAACAAAAAATGATGAATTAAAGATAAGCCGAAGTTTATAAGATGCCATTTTTGCAGATAAGAATGCGAGAAAGTAGCACTTCACCAAGGAGAATACTCGTCAATTTCTTTGAAAAAATTATATACCATTGAATTTCACTTTCAGAAACAAGAAGACCTATCAAAATAAATTGTGACGTGATATTCAAGAAGAGTTTATCAAATTCAACAACTTCCTATACACATTTTCTATGACAACCATTTAGTTAATGTCAATCCAACATTATAGACTTATAGTTGACAACCCACAGTTAATTTAATGAAGTCCCTCCTGTTGATTAGAAAATAATCCGAAAGGGCCATACAGACAGACAATTTTCTTTTTCCCAATGTTGTGCAACTCTACCTACACTGTTTTAAGGTCATCATTTTACCCTAAAGAAATCCATTTCACACCAAGCATTAGATTTGAACATTGATACTCCCAAAGATAAAACAAACATACCACTCAAAACAGTCAACAAGTGCAAGTACTCTATAATGATAATTTAAAGAATCAAAGAGAAACTAATGTTGACTTATCAGTTTCCAAGGAGATCACAATGTTTCGTGCCATCTCCTTCTGACATATGATAGATAGAACCTCAGTGAAAAACAAAAGGGTTCGACAGAGTAACTAAACCAGTAAAAGTCAGTCAACATAATATGAACAATTAAAAAGAATGAATCTATATTGTTGAAGTGTGCGGAACAGAAGTGGTTCTCTCTTACTTTTCTTTTTGTTTGGCGAAACATATGCATGAAAATTGGTAGAAAAAAATGCTCTCAGGCACTCTTTTCGAGATTTCTCTCTCTCCTAACCTCTAGGAGGGAGAACCTCTCCTTCTCCGGTCTTCCATCGGAGGACAGTTTGTTTTTCTTCTTTTTTTTCTCAGTTATTAGCTTCAAGGTTTTTATATCTCGTCTATTTGTTTTACATGGAACATAAGATTTATTTCAGGTCAGGGGGGAAGTCATTTGACATTTAAGCCTACAATGAAGGTGCTGAAAGTTGGTTTGAATGGGTGGAAAGCAGTAGGTACATCAAACGGAAGATGATGTTAAGCAGGAAGCTATCTTTGTGGGTCTGTCAAACGCTCAGAGAGGCTTCAATGTGCAAGGGAAGGAGCTTCAAAACATGGAAGAGTGGGGACCATTTCACAGACATTTATGGCTCTCTTAAGCATAATAAATTTGGCAGATATATATGCTTAATCTCAGTGCAGGGTCACAGAAGAACAGTTATGGTTATGCCAGATAATGTTCCATATGCAGGGTGGTACATAAATGCTAGGAATATAGAAAATCTCATAAATAGTACTCCATTGGCCACAAAGGTTCCTTTCAGGAGGAATTTACAGAAACTAACTGGAGAAGAATCATACAAAGAGGCATTAGATAAGAGCAAATGGAGAACAGATGAAGCTTGTCTTCAAACAGCGACTTCTTCAAATAATCTGATCAGAATAACTGGTGGCAAATCCTCGGATGAATCTGAAATGCTGCAAAGATGCTTGGTGGGTAGTTTTGCTGGTCAGGATGAGCCTCCGACAAGGAATGATGTTCGTAGATGGGCCGCTCAAACCTGGAAGGTTGCTCATGGTTTCAACGTATACGACATGAATGGAGTTCAATTCCTTTTTGAGTTCCCCTCAAGGAAATTGGCGGAACACGTCTTGGTGGGTCGCTGGCAAAGACAAAATAGTAATCTCAGGCTGGAGTGGTGGAGTCCGACGGCGGGTGCTTTCCAACAACTAAAAAATTCGACTGGACTTGGATTAGAGTCTTGGGCCTTCCTCTACAGCTTTGGAACAAGAAGGTGATGAAAATAATCGGCGATAAATGCGGTGGATGGTTGGAAACAGAGGAGGAGACTGATCTTAGAAACCATTTGAGATGGGCCCGATTAAAGGTTTAAAGGACCACCGGAACTGTTTCCTGCTAGGGTTGAGATCAAATACGAGGGTGTGATTTTTACAGGCAATATCCTACCAAAAAGCAAAAGCACAGTGGTTTCACCAAAATTAAAAGGAGTGTATGAAAGGAAGAATCTGAAGGTTGGAGTGAAGTACAAAGATGGAATTCCAAGGAACAAGGGGAGGCAACTACTCACTAAAAGTTGATGAAGATACACATAATATCCTACAATGAAGCAGCTTATCTTCCTCTAGCGGATAAAGTAGTTAAGCCCTAAGAAGCTAGATAAATAGATAGAGATCCACTATAAAGGTTCTAAATTTGCTCCTGAATATTAAGGATAATTACATTCTTGAAAGGATCAAGGGCTCTACCCTCTCGAAGAGAGTAGGCTGCACGTGACAGACTCTGCTCCTATTTCAAATGCTCTTCTTGGGGGGGGGGGGNTAGGGGTCTTAATGGGCGGAGAAAAGGGAGTTGATAAAATCAGCTTTCAAAGAGTGGAGGGCAAACATTTACTGTCTGCAAGAAACGAAGATTGAGGGAGCTGTGATGGTATTGCAAAACAACTGGGTAGCAGTAGGTGGATTGATCATATAAAGCTAGAAGCTGAAGGGACAAGGGGAGGCATCTTAATTATGTGGGATAAGAGAGAATGGAAAGGGGAACTGGGGTGTATGCTCCATGTAAGAGAGTGGAAAGAAATGAGCTTTTGTTAGAGTTGGGTGCTATGAAAGGTTTATGTAATAGAAACTGGGTGGTATGTGGTGACTTCAACACCACTAGATTTGCTAATGAAAGGAAAAATAGGAACTCATACAGTAGAGCAATGGCAGATTTTTCAGAAACTGTGGAAGAACTGGAATTGATTGACCCTCCACTCCTAGGAGGCCAATTCACCTGGAGTCAAGGTGACAACTCTGCATGTGCTTCTAGAATAGACAGATTTCTCTTCTATATGGAGTGGGATGAGGAATTTAGTTTCATCACGCAGAGCCTTCTCCCAAAAGTTATATCTGACCATACACCAATTTCCTTGAAATGTGGGGAATGGGAACTCAACAAATCTTATTTTAAGTTTGAAAACTCGTGGTTAGATGTCCAAGAGTTCCCCTCAAAAGTGCAGACTTGGTGGAATTCCTTTGTGATTGTTGGTAGGCCAGATTTTGTGCTAGCTACCAAATTAAAGCTTCTCAAAGCTAAGCTAAAAGAGTGGAATAAGGAGGAGTATGGCAGTCTAAAAGAAAGGAAGAAGACAGTTCTCAGTAACATCTCAATCTTTGATCAGATTCAAGAAAGCAGAAGGCTCACTGAAGGAGAGTTATTGGAAAAGGTTGGCCTCATGCTAGAAATTCAGGAGTTAGCCAAGTATGAAGAGACAACATGGAGACAAAGGTCCAGAACTTTATGGCTGAAACAAGGGGACAAGAATACAAAGTTTTTCCACAAAATGGCTAATGCACATAGGAGATATAATCACATTGATAAGCTGGAGGTGCAAGGGCAAACTACCACAAACTGTGAAGAAATTAGGAAGGAAATCATAGACTTCTATCAGAAGTTGTATGTTGAACCTGAAGTATGGAGGCCAAATTTCAATCTTGCTAGAGGGAACTTTTTAACAGAGGAGGAAAGTATTTGGTTACAAAGAGAATTTGAAGAACAGGAAGTGGTGGAATGCCTCAAGTCATGTGCTTTAGACAAAGCACCAGGACCTAATGGCTTCACCATGGGATTTTCCAAAAGTGCTGGCCAACAGTCAAGGAAGATGTCATGTTGACCATGAAGAATTTTCACTCTAATGAATACTTTGAGAAGTGTTTTAATGCATCCTATGTGACTCTCATCCCAAAGAAGAATGAGGCTAGAGAACTTAAAGATTTTAGGCCAATTAGATTGATTGGAAGTGTTTACAAGATTATAGCCAAAGTCTTAACTGAGAGGTTGAAGTCTGTAATTAACAAGCTCATTGGAGGTCATCAAATGACCTTCATAAAAGGAAGGCAAATCATGGATGCTTCTCTTATTGCTAATGATGTGGTAGAATCTAGGCTCAAAAGCAAATTTCCAGGTGTTCTATGCAAGCTGGATACAGGGAAGGCTTACGATCATGTCAACTGGAAGTTCCTTCTGAGATTAATGTCTGATATGGGTTTTGGAATTAAATGGATTAACTAGATCCGTTTCTGTCTTAGCACTGTAAAATTCTCTATCTTGATTAATGGTTCACCCCAAGGTTTTTTCTCCTCAGAAAGGGGGTTAAGGTAAGGGGATCCATTATCTCCCTTTTTGTTCTTGATGGCAATGGAAGGGCTGAATCAGATGATCAACACTGCAAAGTCAAATGGCTGGATCAAGGGGTTCAAGGTGTCTAACAGACGAAATTGCAGCCTAGAGATTTCACATCTACTATATGCAGATGACTCTATTATTTTCATGGGTACTCAACAAGAGGAGATGCTGCATCTCAGACTAATATTAACAACCTTTGAAGCTATGGCAGGCCTACATGTTAACCGGGGAAAGAGTAAGCTGTATCAGGTAAATGAAGTTCCTAACATACAGGATTTGGCTAATATCCTGGAATGTGGAATAGAGAACCCACCTACCAAATATCTAGGTCTTCCTTTGGGCTCCAAAAACAAGTCGCAAGAAATCTGGCAAGAGGTGATTGAAAGGAGTGAAAAAAGACTTTCAAGATGGAAGAGCCAATATTTGTCACTTGGAGGCAGAGTGACTCTGGTGAATAGTGTCTTAGATGCACTGCCTTCCTATGTGATGTCCTTATTCCCAATGCCAACTAAGGTGAGGAAAAAGATTGATTCTCTAAGAAGAAATTTTATTTGGCAAGGAAATAGTGAGAAAAAGACTATTCACTTAGTCAAATGGGATACTCTTTTGTGTTCTAAGCAGGCAGGTGGTTTAGGTATCAGAAAGCTAAAGGCACAGAACAATAGTCTCCTTGCAAAATGGTTATGGAGGTATAATCTGGAGGAAACAGCTTTATGGAGAAGGGTGATAGAAGAGAAGTATGGCCACGGAGGTCCTTGGTACACCAAACCAGTATCATCCCCACATGGAGTTGGTGTATGGAAAACACTTGGGGGACAATGGAGCTTCATTGTTGATCATTCTAGTTTCAAGGTTGGAAATGGAAGAAGAGTTCTCTTCTGGTGTGAAACATGGTTTGGGCACACTCCTCTGAAAGATCAGTTTCCAGAATTATATAACATTGCTGCGAATCCAAGAATCTTAGTAGCAGAAGCAAAATCCACACATGGGTGGAACATTGTTTTCAGAAGGAACTTCAGTGACTAGGAGTTGCAAAGTGTGGCAGATTTCTGGGAGACCTTAGAAGTTTTCCAAGGTCTCACAAAAGAGGAAGATGCTTTAATGTGGAAGGGTCACAAATCAGGATCCTTTTCAGTGAAATCTGCTTATCATTTCATCAATAATACTCCTAATCCTACTCAAGGATGGCCATGGAAACAAATTTGGAGGGTCAGGCGCCCACAAAAGTCTTATGCTTCACATGGTTAGTAGCAAGGGAAGCTGTTCTAACTCAGGACAATCTTATTAGGAGAGGAATTCAGCTACATGCTAGGTGTAGCCTATGTGGCAAAGATGGGGAGTCAGTTTCCCATCTCTTTATACACTGCCCAGTCACTATTCAACTTTAGCATTTCTATCTCAATTTGGCTGGAATATCCTGGACAATGCCCAATAACACTGCATCTCTTCTCAGTAGCTGGAACAATGGAGGGGCAAATATTAAACAGAAGAAATGGCGGAAAGTAGTTCCTGCTTGTATCTGGTGGGTCATATGGAAGGAAAGGAATGCCAGAGTTTTTGAAGATAGACCTAGCTCTTACCAGAAAATTAAGCTTAATTGTTTTTTGTTATTTCATTTTTGGTGCAAAGAGAGCTATAGGGAGGATGTACATTCTTTACTAGATTTGCTAGAAGAAATGTAATCGATTAAATATAGGCAAGGCAGTCACAGATCTTTTGAGGTTTGATTGTGGCTTACACAATCTCCTGTAAATATTTTTAATCATTTATATATTCTCAAAAAAAAAAAAAACAATTAAAAAGAATGACAATATCATTTGACAAGACAATTAATATACAGAAAGTGAATAACTTTCATGTTTCAGTATCAATAGATCGAGAATATTCAGTGCTATCTCTAGTAGCAATAGTTTTATCATCTAACCATTCTTTTCATTTCCTTTCATCTTTTGAACATCACAATTTGGACTCCACAAGACAGAATAAATTTCAGAAGTCCCATTTCCAGGCAAACTAACCAATTCATTTTTCGAACATTTCAGTCTTCAAGTATATAGTCAATAACAGGAATTTAGAATCATGATCATAACTGCTGCTATTAACTACAATATAACATTCTTGGCTTCTTCAATACCACATATGCTTGTTAATTCCAGCAAACAAACCTGAGAAGAAGGTTTTTTCTTTTTGGATGACTCAGGCTTCTTCTTCTGTGAATTCCATTTCCGAGAGAAAGAATCAAAACTAAAAGGACCTCCTGGTCCGAATGCTGACAAACTTATGGTGGCAGCTTTTGCCGCTAACGGATGAAATTGAGGAGCAGACTCTGCTTCCGTGTTGTCATTGGAAGGTTGAGATCTTCCAGAAAGTGGGACAACACCATCTTTTCCATGGAAGACTTTAAATGCCATATCGAAGTTGGGGCCATCTTCAAAAATTGGACCTTTACCCCCCGTTACCTGAAAGGTAATAGAGATTAAGCGTGAGACACACAAGCATTAGAAGCAATAACAGCATAAGCAAAAGCAAAAAATAAAAAAACTAGGATGTTTATGTTTAAAAAGTACTACAGCAAATGGATAACCATATCACTTGAAGCACCAACAATAAGAAATCACAACTTACAGCTGTGGGGAAGTTCAGGGAAGAGAAGACAGAAAAGTTTGTCGGTTTATTGATGTTCCTCAAGAATGGGCATCTTTGAATGTCCTGCCCACTGAAGGAGCAACCAGATGTCTCCTCATTCTGTGTCCTGAAGAAGAACTCCATTTCTTCTGATCCTGAACGAATATATAAGCAAAGAAGACTGTTAGAACGGGTATGAGGGTTGAGTACATATTTTGGAATAGGATGTAGCATTTATGTCCAAATTTATTAAGATGCCGCTCACGGCAAAACTCTGTTAGCATAATACAAAAGATAGCAGATAGAATATATAACTAGCACTAAGCAATTTCCAAGATCGTAATGATGCAAAGTAGGACAGAGAAAGAAAGGACAGAAAAAGAGTAGAAGAGGAGAGTCTTCAGCATCAAATCAAGAAACAAGAAATGAACTGAGAATAGACAACAGAAAATATGATTTCCTCGACTTAGACTTGCTTTATATGTCCCTCCAGCCACCTATAACTGGGCATCGTTGTCAAAGGCAAAAAACGTTAAAAAATGATCCAAGTTTATCAAGGCTTTAAGCGCAAAGCGCAATTAAAGTGTGGGCTTTAGCTAGAAAAGGCACAACAAAGAAAAAAATAAAAATGTATATGTAATGTAAGAAAAAAGTAACAACTTCATTCTTAATGATTTCCTTAACAACTTTTTATTTGCCAGGATACCAGGCTCAAACTCTTGACCTAGTGGCATGAAGAAGACTCTCTCAACCACTACGAACAAGAATGACCGATAATGATTTCCTTAACAATTAATATCTTTTTGCTAATCACATTTATTGTTTAGCATCATTCTATTCAAGATAACAATTAGGTGCACGCCTTAATGCCTCGCCTATACTCAAGTAGCCTAAGTGGTGTGAAGCGCTTACTCTGAGCTTCTCTGAGCTTCAGGGCTTAAGCACCTAAATTGAGCCTTTGAAAACATTGTTAAACTGGGGAAAACATGAAAAGGATGTCACTAGCATTAGTATGCAATACCAGATATCAAAGATACTTCTTTTGATATTTTTTTCCTCCTTCAGTTTCTTTCAGAAATCTGAATCTGCCACTCAAATGCACTTAGAATGTTTGAACTAAACAACCTGAGTTTGTGCCGAACAACACTCAGGCATTTTGGGAGTTTTAATATTTACCCACAAGTTTTTAGTAATTATAATCCAATCCCAAACCACTTCTTACCTGAGACATTGGGGATCAACCCTATAAGTTTCTTTTCGAAAAAGAGGACTTTGACCAAATCTCAGGTAATGAAGTAGCATGGATTTGGATTATAATTACTAAAAACTCGTGGCAAATCAATGTTATCAAAGGCAAAAGGCGCGAAAAAGCTCTAAGGTCCATTGGGTTTAAGCCGAAAGCGCAAATAAAGCGTGGGCTTTAATGAAAAAAGGCGCAAGGGACAAAAAAGTACAAATATGTATATGTAGTCCAAGACGAATAATTATAAGCATGAATAACAAACATGTGGAAAAGAAATTGAAAAAAATTTATGCTAAAGTGAAATATCAATCGTTTCATGTCGCCTCTTCAGGATTATGCTCATTGGCTAGGAAAAGTATGCCTTAAAGCCTTGATGACGACACTGAAGTGTCCGCTAAGCGAGGCGAAGTGCTCAACATTTTTTGAGCCTCGCTTCAGGGATTAAGAGCGCTTTAAGCGTGGCTTTAACAACTCTAGGGCAAATTACAAATTCACCTTAACTAGATTTTATTATTTAGCCTTCCAGTTCTTAACTGAGGTTTTTCTCTATTCTGACTGCTGCTTCTTCTTTACTTATTTCATGCATCCATTTTTACTCCATTGTTAACATAGTTTCTTTCTCACAGACAGCATAACTATGATTACATAGACTTATTTGGAGTATATTTTTCAATGAATTGAAACTTCTCTCAGTATAGCTCCAAGCCATTAAGCTGTATCTACTTCATTTCTTCATTTCAGCCAACTTACTTCATTTCTTTTCGCTTTGAGGTCTCAAGCTAGCTTTATTATCCTAATTTTCCTATCTTTCTTCTCATTTCAAGTCTTCATTATCTCAACCTATTTATCCATTTGACACTAACTTCACATACAATAAGTTGAATACACTATGCATCTCTCTCCACCAAACACCCCAAAACCATGGTAGATCCAAAAGAAAGGGGAACTTTACATACTTATTTAATTGTTCAAACTGCCAATGCCAACTAGTTTGGCTTTGAGACATGGTTGATTGATATTTATCGTTCCAATAATTTGTAAGAAACATGCCTTTATTTTCCAAATACAGTTTCTTTCCTTTTTTCCCCTTTTCTTTTGCGTGTGCGTGGGGGGAGGGTGTTTAAATGGGGTCAGGAGATTTTATCGGTTATAGCGAGAAGAGTTAGATACCTGGATGAGTCACATTATATGGGACTGGACAATCATATATCAAATCACGCCTAAAACTAGAAAATGCACGTGCTTTCCGTATTCTACCGAGTTGCTAGGCAAAAGCATATAGGTCAATGTTCCAGCAGTCTTTTACACCTAGTTTGGTATTCCCAGAGGTGTTCAGCAATAGGCTCCTTCAAGATAATCCCTTTATCAACTAGATTGTAAAGCTCCATGTATCTTTTGAACTCTTTTACTAGATGTTAAGACATCTATTCCTCTCTGTGTAATCTTCGTCCACACAAGTTTGCAACTTCTACACAATTATGTCCCAGTCCCAAACAAGTTGGGATCAGCTATATGAATCCGCAGATGTTTTTTCTTTTAACAGCAAGTGGGAGTAAATCAGTAAATCATGGTAGCACAATCAATTAAGTTCAACTTCCTGAACACTAAAAGAGTTAAGACCCTATCGTCATTTGTCCACCCTGCCTTTTTAATTTTTACTTTTTTTAGCTAATTTCTTTTCCCCCTGTTGTCATACTATCAACTACAATTGAGCTCAAAAATCAAAATACACCAATATCCCAAATCATTTGAAATAACAAAAGGAAAAAGAGAAAACCAAAAACTAATCTCAGCTAAACGCATACAGAAGAAATCAGTATAATTTATTCTAATTCCTACACACACCACCAACTCCCCCCCCCCCCCC